AGCAATTTTTTAAGTAAAAGTTAAGTAACTTCTATAAGTTATCTGTTTACATGCAGTTGGTATCATAGTTTACAGCGAGTTTATTATAGGAGCATGGCCTTACTACGAATTATGGTATTATTGGGCGGCATTTATGTACACTATTATATATGAATTTATAGTTTGCTACCAGTTTTATTAGAGATAGTGGCAACTTGTTTTGGGAATATTCTGTACGGAACAGCTTTCAAAAGAAGATTATCAAGAAAAGGGAATTGATCATACATGATTATTAAATATCTATGAAATGGCATCACAATTATATATCTCATAAATATTTAAATGTAAAATCAGCAACATCTCATCAGAGAAATTTATCTAAAGGATAAATCTAATGCCTTCCTCCGACAATAATGGGTTTAGATCTTTGACTCGCTTTTACCATTACCATAAACCACTCTAATTGTTGATACTCTTTAGAAGATCGATACCCTCAAACATATAAAAGAATTATTGTCGAAAACCAAAGCCATCACAGTGATATCAGATACGAGTGAAGCCAATTACAATTGGTGTAATTTGGTCAACAAAAACTTCGAAGTTATTGTTGCAGATCTACGTGCAGAGACCAAATTGAACTCGTATTAATATATCGGCATAAAATGGGTATGTATAAGTGCTATTCTTAGTTATTAACAACAAAAGCCCAATTGGTGATAATATCAAACGACATAATATGCGAACACCTAGTTAGTTGTTTTAACATTGCTTATGATAACATTATTGAGATTCCTTACTTGCAAACCCAATAGGATGAATTATTTTTAAGCATACCTTACGACTAAAAACTGACATATGTTTTATAATAGATAAAAAACTCTAATTCCGAGATTGATCGGGACATCTTAGTATATTGTGAATCCTTGTACCAAATGGATCAAATATATTAAGCAATCTATTTTCATAATTAATTGTCAGAATCAGAGGAATTCGAAGTGCATCAAATCATACCATTCTAATCGTATTATGAGCAATTTGGTCAATAATTGTTGGAAATGGTGTACCCATAACAGAAGGGAAAAAGAAAGGTATTTTTGACACTAAATTATCAATAATTACAAAGGTATTTGTAAAATGTTCAACAAAAAATATCATTAATCATCCATATGGGTTATTAGACTACAGTCAAGACATTCTTGGAAGAAATCAATGCCATAGTTTATAAATAATACAATCTCAGTAGACATGATATCATCATTCGTAACAGAATAAGTTATTTTCCTAAAATCATTTATTTATTTGGATTTGATGAATTCAAAGATTTAAAGGAACATAAATTGATTTTTGATGAAGAATTCACTTTCAATCCCCAAAATATCAAATTTTATGCCTAACAATTCAATGTCTAAATTGATTAACTGTAGAATGTAGTTGTATCAGAATATAGTTCTTTGTAAAACTATATTCCATTGATATATTATGAACCATTATTGGAGGCAGAAAATGAGACCTTTCATTATTACAGCAATGTTGTCTCCACACTTTTGACAGACGGAGAAATACTTTCAGAAGGTAATGTGGAAAGTAAGAAGAATCCCTTTAAGAGTTTCCAAATTCATCAACAAAGGGAATCAATAATTAGATCAAATCATTATTGGTCAAAAATGGGAGATATTACTTCATGGATTTAATTAATAAATAAATTTATCATTTTTATTGAAGATATCAATTCCAAAGATGATGAAAAAGAATAAGAAAATTCAAAAAATGAATTAATAAAATGGTGTAGATTACAAAACATCAATATACCAAAAATGATATTGATTCTAGCTTATAATGAATACATCATAGACTTAACTTAAAAATATGTACTAATATCTCATTATTTAGGTGTCTGAATATTCAGTCATTAATAAATGTTGTTCACTTGATTAATTAAAATTGAATAGAACTGTCTCCTTGAAGAAACAATAATCAATGCCGGAGCATTCTGAAGACATATAAGCCTGTTTATTAAGGCTCTTTTATAAAGGCTTAAGTATCTTTAGTGGACATAAGAGTGCTGGTTACTATAATTATGTTGCCAATTAGAAATTTAAATTATGCTATAATAATTTAATGGCAATCATCGGAGACTTCCCTCTAACTTGTATAATTATGGCTTTGCTGTAAAAGAATCAATAATATGAAATTAAATACTCTACAAAAATAGATGACATTATGATACCTCAATTGGCACCTAAAGCATTTGTCAAAGAACATAAACTATAATTCATATAGCGATAATCCTTACACTTGAATGAAATAACCTTTAATGGCATAGGTCAAGTTCTATTTAATGAATTATGGAAACATCAATCAGGTCCCCAATTATCTTAGGATTGCATCTTACAACCTAATATTGAGATGAATTGTATTACAGTTTTGTATGATCCCACTGTGGCCAAAAAGGAGATTATAGAATAGGAGTTGAATACTAAAATTAAGGAATTGTAGAACTTTTACAGAAATTAAGTTAAAGAAATACCTTACGAGAATGATTCTAAGTTTATAATGCAAGCGTATAAATATATAATAATCTTAATAGTGGTGGAAGTATGAAGGATTGGATTGAAAAAAGTGCATACAAGACTTTCTTTATAGAAGGCTTACCTTTAGACATTACACAGGAATTGCTATAAGAGTTCTTGTAAGAGGTGGTTATTTCAGAAATGAAGTTGTATAAGGAAGGTGATAAAATAACAGCCAGAATATCATTGTAGGATCATGATGATTTACTTTTTTGTTTGGAGAATATCAAAGAATATAAGGATAATTAATTGAAGGTTTATACTCAACAAGATCAATTTGAACATAATGAAGAAAAACTACTTTTTAATGAGCATTATAAAATAATCATAACATGGAATTTGCATTTAAACAAAGGTACTGCTATTATTAAATTGAATTCTCCACATCTATTTAATACTGAAGACTTTGAAACAATCTAACATCTGACATATAAAATGAATCTTAAGAGTGTTTACGAGGATGATTAAGCAGTATTAACAGATTTAAAATAACAACATAAAGATATTGATATCAAATCAGTCTCAATAGATAAGCAATTAAGATATGAAAATAATGGAGATCTCTAATTAGAAATACAAAAGTTATTATCTAATATTCCTCAAGATAAATATAAAATTGACTCGATTACAAAATAAAATTGTAAAAGAATTTTGACACTCAATGTTTATGAGAAAAATATTATGGAATAATTTATTCTCTTACATAATCAGATCAAATAATTTAGAGGGTTGAAGGTCTAATTAAATGTAAAGCCTTTGTATTATCATGATTACGAAGGACCTATTGAAATGAAGCAAATAGTAGAGGAAATTTTTGATGAAAAGAAACTTAAACTTGGTTAATATACTATTACAAGTGATGATGAACTTAAAAGAGTGAAAGTTACAATTGAATGTTGGAACAAATAGGATCACGAGTAATTGAATAAAGAAATATAGGATGCATTCACCCCAAAAATCATTAAGTCTTCATAAGATTTTGATATCACAGTTATATTTAGTTAATCTGGTACAAGATTTCTTAAATTCTAAGAAGAATCTTTATAAATTCTAATTAGATAAGATTTTATTAATAATCAATTATTTGTAAATAGTTCTTAAATCAAATACAATCAATTAACCAAAGCAATCAAGGAATTTGTATCGGATTGTTCTAAAAGTATAATTTAGATTCCAAAAAATTGTATAAGATTAATAATGGGAAATGATTCTTAAGGACTAAACGAAATCAAGAAGAACTTCGATTTAAAGAGTGTTAAATTCAATAGTATCTCAGGTGAATTACAACTATTTGGTGATTAGAAGAATCTTGATGCAGCTATCATTTCAATTAGTGAAATTATATCATCGTAATAACAATAAGATAAGCCAATCAATGCATTAACTTGTAACTATTGCTTTGATAATATGAAAAATGGATATATGCTCCAAGGTTGTGGACATAAGTTTTGTCTTTAGTGTATAATGTTCAGCATTCAAAATTCATTGGGAGACATGACTTAATTGCCAATTAAATGTCCATAATGTAATTAAGGTATACTCTTGGCTGATTTACACATTTTAATTGATGAGCCTAGTTGGGAAAAGTTAATAAAGTTATCAATCAACAAATGTAATTAATTTAATATTATAATATTAGATTTATAAGATCATGCAGCATAGATTGCCTTTTGTTTGACTCCAAATTGTCCAATAATTCATTTCCAAAAGATTCCAAGATATACCTGTAAAAAGTGTTAGAAACAGTATTGTAATTCATGCAGAGTATTATTATATCATTTATCATTTAGACTGCATATCATTATGGATAAACTTGTAGAGAATTCAAAGCTGGTAATGAAGATTCCATTAACATATATATGAAGAAGAATGATGTAAGAAGATGTCCTCACTGTAAAATATTGATTCAAAGAATTGATGGCTGCTATAGAGTTACTTGTACAGGATGCAAAAAAAGTATTTGCTGGAAAAATAAAGCAGATGGCACACCATGTATGGCATTATTTGAAACATCTTCAGAATGTTATTCGCATTTAACCAAAGAACATGGTGGGTATTGGTGATATGAACAATATATATATATTTATAGATCAATTTATTTATTTAAGTTTCCTGTCAATTAAGTTTTATAATTAAACTATTTAATTAACTGCTAGCACTAATCATACAGTTATTATCATTTAAAGGGTGAAATGGTACAGAATTTCTATAAAAAATTCAAAAATATTCTAAGTTTCTGTGGTATGAATTTTTAATAAATTAAGAAGTCATACATCTTATGGATTAATATTATTTAAATAAACTTATCATTTCTAAGTTACTAACTTCAGAGTGCATTCCTTTGATCAGAACCATAAGATCCATATACAGCGTAATAATAGTTATATGTGTTGATATTACAGCAAATATACATCGAATTATCTCTAATAGTTATATTTATATTTCATTTATAAATGTCTGAGGATATCAAGTCTAGAGTCATGAATTATTTAAATTGTCCATTGGGAGATATGCATGAAGGAGAATAACTTAACTTTGTTTGTCTTGAGGCAAATTGTAAAGAAATGGGACTCATCTGTCCTGTATGCAGAACTTAAAAACATTCCAAGCACAAAGTCATTCCATTGAAGATCTTTCTAGCAGATATTTATACTAATGTTAATGCTAAGCAAAACCAAAATTCATTGGATTCCTTACTTGTGCAATTAGATTAAGTTCGCTTGAAAATGTTATCCAGTCTTAAGGAGATCGTCCAAAAAATGGTTTTGTATGACTTTTATGTCTTATCAATTAGACAAATCAAATTGCTTGAAGAATAAATCAACTTAAGTTATAAGAACACAAAATAGAGATTATAGGAATAGAATCAAACGTAAATGAATTTTCCTCAGTTGTTTCAATAAATCCTAAATACACAATATAAGAATGTGGATTTGTTAAAATAAGATGTACGTAAGATGATCGACAATGTAAGTCAGCATCAACCTGGCAAAATTGAAATTGACTTTAAACCTTAAAAATTGTTTGATTCCTATTAAAAAGCTGTAAGAATTCTTATAATTATCATTCTAGTCACAAGAGGCTGTTAATCAATTATAGATGCTATTTACATCGTTTAAATAATCAACCTAAAAAATAGCGAAACCAATTGAAAAGTTTACTTAGCCAGTTGTTAGTCATAATCAAATCAATTTCATATTTAGTTAAACTTTGAAATCGGCGACAATTAATGTTCAAGATTTTAAAGTAGCCACACAATAAGTGCAATAGAATACTGAAAATAGATTTATTTTAATTGAACCATCTATTTAAGATTCATCGAAAATTGCCTTTAAAATTTTAAATTTAACAAATTTCATCGGATTGGGAATTGGATTGAAGAACGTTCTTCAAACAAAGAAGTAAGTATAAATATTAGATCCATTAGTATGAGATTTGATTACTAGACTTTGGGACATGGTTCATATATGGCATCATCAAACGATCATGTATGGTCACATAACAATAAGGAGGAAAATATGATATCTAAATCTTTTTCGTTTGCAACTGGAGATATTGTGATTTTAGATGTCAATTTAGAAAATAAGGTATTTTATTAGATAGCTATTTATTAGATAGTAAAGTTTAAGAATAAGAACTCTTAAAATGAACCAATATCACTTAAATTTGACATCCCAGAAAATGATGAAATTGTTTTTTGTGTTAATATGGGTAGTATTGGAGAAAAGGTGGAAATTTTAGACGATTGGGAGTGATTGTAATATAAATCAATATTATTTAAATAATTAATTGTATTGATTATAGATATGAAATAGATGCAATGTTTTTAAGTTGATTTTTGTTGGATTATTTTTCAAGAACAAATTTTTCTTATTCTAAAAAACAAGTTTATAATAAACAAATACAATGTATGTAATAATCTTTTATTTAATTAAGTACTTAACAACAACTTGAATCTTTATTTGGATTGTTTGTTGTAATCGATTTCATATAAAATAAAATTCTATTATATTTAATTTAAAGATGATATTATAAGTTTTAGTAATTAATTATCAGATTTACAAAGAGAGCAATGACCATCTGTATTCCATTTCATCAATGATTTAGGATTAATCAGCTTCTTCACCTTGCATCCAAGGATGAGACTGAATTTCAGGAATCTTTAATAAAATATTTATATATTAAATACTGATAATCTCCGATTTGGATTAAAGGCCAAAAGTTTGACTATAATATCCTTTAATTCTGCTGAAAACTCAAATTAATGCTTCTCCCAAAACTTTCCGATTTATTATCTTCATAATCAATGCAAATATTACCTATAGATAAACTAATAATTTGGATCACACTTTATGTTAGCATTATGAAAAGGACTAGATCCAGCACAAATTTAAAATAAAATAACTCCTAACTAAAACAAATCTGCCTCCACTGGATGATATGGCTGTCTCAGATATATCTCTGGAGCTGCAGTTTAAGGTGTCCCAACATAACTACATTCATTAAAATAATAATTTACTCATTCACTTTTATTCTTCTTCCCTACTCATCCAAATATTGAACAGCAAATCCGAAATCGCAAATCTTCAACTTATATTAATCATCCAATAATATGTTTTCTAATTTTAAATCTCTATGAGCAACACCCATCTTGTGAATCTTATCAATTACTAGTAATAATATTTCTTCACTATTACTGAATATCATCTGTTTGAAGAAACTTCTGGCTATGTTTTCTTCCAATCGTGATTATTGTAAGTATTATAGTAAGTTTCCGTACTTAGCATAATCCATCATTATGCACCCTCTTAGTTGACTTTCTCTTATTCTAATTACTCCAGAAATGTGACTCAACTTGTTCATTATACGAATCTCGGTCTCATACAGTTGATCCTGCTAAGCCTTGAACACTTTCAGTGCCATCAATTCCCCAGATCTTGAAACTAATTGGACACTAATTCTCAATTAAAATTAATACTCTGCTGAAATCCCACATCCTATATTGCTTATTACACTGTATTCCTCTTCCATTGATGTTTAACACATATTGATAATAAAAATTATAATATTAGAAGATTGGAATTATAATGGCTAAATATTAATCAAATACAATAAACTCAGTAATTATTATATATTATAAGTTTATTCGTCATCATTCTCATTATCACTTAAATATTCAACACTACCAAACTTATATTTCTTACAAAAAATATCAAATTTTAGATTTCCTCAAAATGTGAAATATTTATTATTAAATTTATTTGCATTAAGACTTTATCTAATTATAGTCACCACATGTTCTTAATTAATTGCTTAATAATATGCATTATAAAAATAAAAATAGTTGTCTATTGATTGTGTAGTGGAGGGTTTATTACTCTTCCAGTATAATGGAGAGGCTGCCAGTTATAGTATGGCTGTGTTAATGCTTGTTATTTTCTTATTTTTAGATAATATATACTTATATATTCAGCGATTTGATAGTTTATTAAAATATCAAGATAATAAGAGTCTAATGTATTTGGATCTTTTACTTAAAAACCATATCTTATTAATGGAAGAGAGATTAAAGTGACTGCTAAACGTTATGTACGTTATGTGTTATCAAGATAATCTCTTTCACTGAATATAACTTTATTATTGTATCAAGATAGCGAAAATCAAAGAATTTAAGTTTTAATACCTATCGTTATTAATTTTCTGTAATTAAGATACTCAGAAAATCATAACCCTTGGTAACTTATGTTCTCTGGAATTAAAGATAGCTTATTCTGAATGTAAGGAAAATTAATACGGATCCTCTTTGTTGTGTCTTTTCAAATCTGTCAACTAGTAAAGTTCATACATAGGGTTTGAATTTTTCCTATTTTCTTTTGATAATAATAATCTTATGAAGACACTTAGACCAACCTTCTCGATCTTAAGTCCTGATTTTAATTATTTTTTATATTATAGATAAACTACTAGTAATTATCAAATATTCAATATAGTATTTTTAATAATATCTAAATCCATATATTGAAATAAAATATAAAAAATCAATTTATTCATTCAAGTCAATTAACTTTAGGAATATAAGATGTAATCAAAAGGCTCATATTTAGAATTTAATTATTTTGAGTATTAGTAGAAATTCGAAATACTTGGTTTCATTATTAAATTAATTTTAATTTTAGCTTAATCTTCCTGAATCTAATTCTTATAATTTTTCTTACTGTTATCAAATATTTTATTTTTCTATCTCTCAAAGTTAACTACTTCCCCCTTTAGGTGATTAATCAGAACTATGGAACTTCTAAGTTTAGAAACTTGTTTTTATTATTTAAATAAATTCTTAAATTTTAGTTATTATATTATATGCATAATACTATAAAATAAAGTATTTTTGCTTGCTAGTCACTTAGAGGAGATTATGATTAAAAGGATAGACTCTTCAAAAAACTTTGAAACAATATTTATTATGTCGTAAAAGTTAAGAATTTTTATATTTAAAAATGAAAAGTTTATATCTTACATTTTGTTTAATAAATCAATGTTTCGTATCAAATAAAGTTGAAACGCTTTCCTTCTTTTAAACTCTATAAATAGCCTCTGCTAATAGAGGAGCTAAAATTATCTAGATAAGATACCAACAGACAATCTACAGATTCTTTCACCTAAAATCTCTTCTTCTTGGGGTTTTGAAGGAATTGTATTCGTAACTATAATCTAATCTAGGGAAGGACTGGAGAGATTTGTAAATGCTTTGCCAGAGAATAAGGCGTGAGTTGCAAATGCAAAAACTCTGTTGGCTCCTTGTTCCTTCAAGACTCTAGCAGCTTCAGATAGTGTGCCCTTTGTAAATATACAACTAAATGTACTGCTGTGTCAATCATGTCATCAACTATGATGCAATCCTTTCCTCTGACTGAACCAACTAAGTTCATGGATGCAATTTTTCCAGGACCTTCTCTTTACTTAATAATCATAGCTAAATGGGACTGAATTCCAGGGTGATGTTAATCAAACTATTCTTAAAATTTCTTTGCCCTATACACACCACCTGCATCTGGTGAAATAATAGCGACATCTTTAAATTGATATTTATTTTGAAGTGCTAAATAATTTTGAGCAACTAAATTTGCTTCAAGATTATCTACTGGTACTCTGGGTCCAAAGAACCCTTGAATTTATCCACAATGTAAGTCAACTGATATAAGTCTATCCACCCCAACTGTTTCTAATAATCTAGCCACATCTGCAGCAGAAATAGGAACTCTTGGTGCACATTTTCTATCCTGAAAATATGTTATTTAGGATACTTGTCTTGCATATCCGTAGTAAGGAACCACAACAATTATTTTTCTTGCTGATGCTCTTCTTAAAGCAGATACTAATAATAATAATTCCATTAAATTATCGTTGACAGGAGGAGAAGTGGATTGTATGATAAAAACATCTTTTCCTCTAATATTGTCGAGAACCTATGTTATGTATTATGTAAACTTAAATTTGGCATTCCCCATCTGCAAATCTTCCAATGGTAACACTGCCCAATTTAATATTCAAATATTCAGCAATCTCTAATAATCAATTTAATGGAATAATACCTTCTGCCAACTCTTTATTTGAATTACCCGATAAGATAATCGTATTTTTGCTATGATAGATATATGGATATACTAAAAATCATCTTCAGGTTCTAATGTCCTTTTAAATGCTCGATTCAGCCTATCGCCATATTGCTTGATGTTGGGGTTGACTTGCAAGCTTAGTTTCTATCTATAGTAAATAGTTGATAATAATCCAACCAGCATCAATTGTTTGGCAGTATTTCGAAAGATATTCTGATGTCGAAATGAGCTGAAAATCTTTGTAAACATAAAAAATAGATATTTTTCATTCCAATATTCGTCATCTTTAAACCATAAATAAGATGTCACTTTTATAGAGACTATGAAGACATATTAGATAATAAATTTTAAGAATTAGGAGTATTATATTCAATAATTACATAATTCAATTATAAGTTTGATAAAATAAAATAATATAAAAAGTCTTATTTAAATATATTGATTTTGAAATGATTGATGATTTAGATAAGCAATAAGAAGATGATTGCATGAATTAATATTGTAGAAACGAATAAACATAAGTTTGGCCAGCTAAATTCAGCAATTAAACTCTGTTTTTTTGTTAAGAATGTTTAAATTTATATAATGAAAAGAAGTGCTGTTATTTTTGTGCATAAGTATTATTTTTACATGAAAATTAAGGTATATTCTGATGACAATTAAAATTTTTTGGATGGTCAGAAATGGATAGGCTGTGATCAGGATGGATGTGAAAAATGGGTATTATATTTATTTATAGTAGTTTAGACTCATTTATAATGTGAATCAAAAAATGGTATTTCCTAAATTGATATCTTGGTGGAAGATACTAAATATAAATATATTTGTCCATGGTGTAGGATCGAGGATTAAAAACAAAGATTTTCAAAAGCCCCTTACAGAATAATGAACAAAAAAGCTCTTAAGTATTTGGAAAAGATGAATCGAAGACAGAATAACCCAAATGAATAACCATAACATAATATTTAACCTAATGTGCAATAATTTTATTATTGTCCATCCGCATCAAGTAAGCAATCTTATCTTGAAGAATTACTTAAGAAAAACGGTAGATGTTCAAAATAATATAATAGGTGGATTTTGTTAGTAGGCTACATAAGAGGAAATCTAGGTAGATCTTTAAAAAATGATGTCTTTAATGAAATAATGAAAAAATATGTATATACTTTATTTTTATATTATATTACAAATATATTCAATGTTTTGATGAAGCAAGAAACTGTTAAGAATTTCCTTATCTGCTCTGTTAATGAAGATATCAATCAAATTTATTGGTATTTAGAAGATGAAAGTGTCTAATAATATTTTCAAAATCTCCAGTTTTATTTAATTATAGCTCTGAATCTAAATTTCTTTCTAATTTCTCGATCTTTGAAGCTGAAAGAATCTTGAATTTTCATTACATAATTCAGTTGCCACTTCACTATCAGCAGTCAATAGCAAATCAGGGTGAATTCACCATCTGCTGGATCCATTTTCACTAAAACATTAACAGAATGATGGAGGAACTTCAGTACGGATTGTTGATCCTCTACCTAACCCTAATAGATATATTGTACCCTTCCAATCAGCTATTGTTTTATCGGTATACTTTTATTCGCAAAATTATTAAAATTAGACATTTTAGAATATTTTCACTTTTTGAAAATTTCTCTAAATAATCAGTCCAAGTGTCAGGAATTGTGATATTAGGACTGTAATATTGATGATAATCCATCTACTATTAAGTGAGTATCTCAATAATCCTATACCACAATACTCCTAATGTTAAAATCAATAATGAAATTTCTATATCTATTCTTTTTGTTAAAATGATTCTCAACTCTCCATTTTGAATGACATCATATAAAATTAATGTGATAAAATTAATGTGAGTCCGTTACTCCTAATACATGATAAACTTTTTCATCACCCCCTATGACTTGATGGATGCAGAACATCTAAACTCATTTAATCAAACTACTTATGACTTAAAGTTCTTGTTATTATAATTTTGATAAATTTAATAAGTATTTTATTATTTAATAATTATTCTCAAATTACAGTAACATTGCAATTGGAGTTAATAGAATACTTGCCATAAATCCAAAAATTAGCAAAATTAAGAAGCAAGCAATATTACTTAAATACCCCTTCTTAAAAGCAATTGCAGAAACTGTTGAGTTCAAACTAAATTTATTTAGGTCTACATCATATTTTAAATATACTGATCTCCTAACACTAAATCATAGCTTAGAATCATTTTCTATATATGCTTATTAATTTTTAATATAATAAATAATTTAAAAAATCAATAACTTACATAAATGAAAATTAAAATCAATGAAAAATGCTGGTTCTACTTAAGTAGTTTACACAGATAACCATCCTATAAAGGAATTATCCTATGGTTTTTACAAATAACCTGTAATTTAATACTGACATCCTATTATGAGTTTTCTTATAATTTAAATAACAGGGTTAATAAATTTAAACAGAAAATTGAAAGATTAACTCTAAATAATTATTTTAGTAATAAATAGAAAATATGAAAAGTAGCTAAATCATTGTAAAGGGTAAATAATACTCTAATAATAACAATAATTCTTTTTCTGATATGAATATGCATATATTATAAATCATTATTTTCCTTAAAATGCTCTATAATGACTAATAAGGTTTTTGGTAGCGCTGTTAGCATTAAATCCTGTAAAATCTAAGTTCTAATGATTCTCAACATTTTTTAATAGAACTGATCTAACATTTTTAGCAAGAACCTTTCCTAATTCGACTCCCCATTAATCAAATGGATTGATTCCCCAAAGAATACTAAGATTATAAATTATATTATACCCTTCAACAAGAACTCTGTGTTCATAGAGAGCCAATAACTATCCGACGTTATATGGATTGGCTTCATTTTGGAATAGTATTTGTAAACTGCATCTGTCTCCAGGGAATACTTTATGATGTTATAATTCCTCTTTAACTCCTTCAGCTACCACTTCTTCCTTTGTCTTTCCTCTTGCTAAAGCATCAACTTAAGCGAAGTAATTAGACATCAATTCATCATGCTAATCTCTTACAGCTGCTGGGTTAGATGCTCCAGTTTCAGCTTAGGATTTAGCATAACCAATAAATTCACAGGGTATTACTTATGATCCTTGATGAATCAATTAGAAAAAGGAATGTTATGAGTTTGTTCCTGGTTCACCAAAAATAAATGGACAGGCAGATTTTAAATATTACTCATGCTTATCAGGATAAACAAGTGCTGTTTTACCATTACTTTCCATATGAACTTATTGGACATGAGCAGGGAATCTTAATAAGCATTAAGCATAAGGAATCAAAGCCAAAGCTTGATATTTCTATAATAATTATTTAGATATTTACTTAAATGCTTGCTCTATACCATCCCAATAATCCCAAGAGAACAGGTAGGTTTTTGCTAACTTATTTCTCATTTACAAGATGTTAATCAATAGAATGAGCTCCATTTAAGACTTAGGCAATATAATCATAACCAAATTAGAGACTCAATGGTAGGACTCCAATAGCACTAGTGACACTGTATCTACCTCCGACCCAGTCCCAGAATCCAAAGACTCTTTATTCATTGATTCCGAATTTGCCTGTTTCTGCCAGGTTGGTTGATACAGCTGTCAAATGGGATTCCAATATTTCCTTTCATACTTAAATATCAAATACTTTAGCATTTTCATGACCCAACAATTTATATTATTCTAAAATCCAATTTCTGCATACTTTTGCATTCATAATTGTTTCAGCAGTTGTAAATGTCTTAGAGTTGATGACAAAAATGGTTTCCTCCACATTCAGACCTTGCAATGCTCTGATTGTATCAACGGGATCAACGTTTGCCAAAAATCTTAATTACCTACCCTTAGATTTCAATTGTCCTTCATGATGTGTTCTTAAGGCTTCATAAATGAATTCGATTCCCAAATAGCTTCCTCCAATTCCAATGACAACTGTATTTAACAATTATTTTTTAGTGTATCCTAAAAATGTTCCAGATCGAACAGATTCTGTAAATGTTTTGACTCTATTCAAAATTTAGTAGACATCTGGAATAACATTTTGGCCATCCACTATAACCTATTAAGCTTCTGGTGTTCTCAAGGCTGTATGTAATACTGCTCTATTTTCAGTGGAATTAAATTTGATCTATTTATAATAATTAATTCAAATACTCCTGATTAGATATCTTTGAGTGTAGCAAAAAGATTTGTGTTGTCAGCTAATTATTGGAATTGTGAAATCAACTCGGCATCTACTTTTTCGTGAGAATAATCCAACAAAATTCCATCGAATTCTGTTACCAAATGCTTGTTTCTCTCATCGTTATCAAGTAGGGTTCTTAGATGAGTTTTGGAAAGGACAGTCTCATAATAATGGGCAATCTTCTATTGGATATCCATTGGCAAATAATATTAATTTTATTTATCAAAATCATCTTAATTCATTAATAGGTATCAAAATGGTATATGCAAAATTTAATACAAATATCAAATATGTTTTATGAAGAATATAAATACTGCTAAAAAAGTCAAACTACATATATTTTAATGATCCTGTTCGGCTTCTTTAAGCATATTTTACACAGCTCAAGTTTGTTTGAACACTCATAACAACAAAATCTATGACCACATTCCAAAAAGACCTAAAATCAATCTTCTTAAAATACAGAATTAATATCTTTAGATTGGCAAATTTAACACAAGTTGAATTCTTATTCTTCTTTTAATCTTTACTCTAATTCGGACACCTGATTTTTCAGGATATTGATTAAGCCATTTTCTTTTGGAATAAAATTTGATTGAATATCTAATTGTGAAATGCTGGACAAGTCACTGAATCTATGATCAAATACTTAAATTGAGTACCTTTTAATGATAAAGAATATTAAAATTACATATCATTATTTTTTTTAGTTCCATCATTCCCCCCAATTAAGTAAATTGAAGTTTCATATGAACACAATTGATGAAACGTTCTTGCAGAAGGAGTGTTCCCTGCTGTTTCTATAAACTTCCATTCTTTTAGTTCGCAATTAAACTCATAGAGATCATTGTATCGAGTCATAGCAGCATCAACTCCCCCAAAAATGTAAATACTATATCCTATTATTGTACTGCTATGTCTATAACGAGAAGGAGGCTTATTTCTAACCTTTTCTAAATACCAATAATTTGAAGCAAATGAATAAGTATACTAAATTTTAATAATTATAATACAAGTTCATCCAAAGTCTTAAAACCATCCCAACCACCAAAAACATACATTTGATTTTTATATACTTCTGCTGTATGGCCAAATCTTGGGGATGGAATCTATCCATGAGTTTGCAACTTAACCCAATGGTTGTTTTGAATATCAAAGCAATGCAAATCATTAAATCTATTACTACCATCTGCCCCTCCAAAAACATACAATTTTTCATTATTTATAACCAGAGACATATCAACTCTTGGTTAAATTTCTCTGGTTGTTCTGATCTAATTCCATTAGCGTAGTTTTGTATCGAAAACATATAGATCGTTAAAGTATTCTCCCCTTCTATTAGTATATCCTCCAAAATAATAAATGTCATGTTGGTATGCCACTCCTTTGCAACCTGATCTTGGAGAGGGAAGTATCCCTTTGGGTGGAATTTATTCCCATTACTTCTTAAATAGATTGTAACAATGCATATCATTTACTATAGTAGTGTCATCGGACCCACAAAATAAATAGAGATTTTCTTAGCATTGCACTACCGAGTGACCAGTTCTAGGAGTGAACTTTCTAATTGTCATTTATACGTTTACATCTCTTAATTAGTTTCGATCTTCCACTCGTAATATTTTCCTAATTCCAAAAACGAAGTTCCTTCTTCTATATTTTGAACTTCCAATGGAATGTCTTACAGAAATTCCTCTCTCTCTACTGTATGACTGCGATAACTCACTAATGATGATTGAGGTTATAGATCGACCAAGTTGGCCATCTTAACTTAATCTAAAACTTAATAGTTACTTGAGAAAAATTAAGAATTGAGAGATCCTGGTAATTCAAACCTCCGATAACTAAAATATCCTCTCGAGATTAATGCAACAAACAGAGCATTGTGTGTTGTACACGAGGGTATGGATGTCTACTTACTTTAGGTAGTTCAATCCATTTCAATGTGACTATGTTTAGAGCATAGAAATTATCATTGCATCTTTTGCCATCGAATGTGCAGCCTCCAAATATTATTAAATACTCTTTCATAGCCAATGCTGCTTGATGTCTGAATATTGAGAGTGGGTTTTTTATTTCCAACCTTATCCAAGTTCGCAGATCAACCAAGAGCCAAACATCATCCAATATTATTTGTCCATCACTTCCTCCAGTTACTATTATAGTGTCCTCATAAACCGTGCATTAATGACCAAATCTATGTGCAGGTTCGAATTCTATTTGATTCCATCTAATGCAATACATTTATTTTTTTTACTTATCACCTCCTATTGTGTACGTTTTACAATCATTAAAAATTTTCTTCTGAGTCCTTCCCCCAATTATTAATACCTAACCCCTATACAAGCACATGCTGTGTTCAACCCTTCCTGTCGGAGCGCTTTTTATTTAACGGAATTTCAATTGTACAACATCAATTTCCAAAAATTCATCAAGTAAAATCGTCCCTTCGATATCTATACTTCCACCATAACAATATATTTTTCCTTAACTCATCACAAATTAACTATTATATCTATTGTTCATATTCAATTGTCACCTAGCCTTAAATGGAATTCCATTGTATAATTTCCGCCATTTAAAATCAATCAAGCTTAAACTATACAAATCATTCTATTTGTAGTTATCAACTATTAAATATAAATTATCCTCATAAAATGTGCAAGGATTCGTTATTTTATTTGGTAAAGTTCCTTATAAACGTTGAATCTCCCACTTTAATGCAATTTAAGACATTATTTGATTATAATTTATATAATAAACATTTTCAATACATCACCCCCAACTCCACCAAAATAATTGATATTCTGAGCTCCAAATCATCAAATTGATAGCAATATGGATCACTGATGTCTTAATGTTCTTAACATCATATCCAAAATCAGATAGTTTTTAAGATCATATTAGTACTCTATTACAATCATTAAATTCTAAATTCTGATTGCTTTTGATTTCAAATCATTATCTTTCAAAAATTTAAAAATTATCTCCCTTTATAATTCCAGTAGCACGAGTTCCTATTCATCTGGTTATTAAAATTCTCTCAATTATTTTTCAGTAATTAATTTCATTTTAATATCATTTGTTCAAATTTAAAGATTCAATTTATTTTATCTATATTTTGTTCTAATAAATATGAAGAATTTATTTTAATAATTTTTCTTATTCTACTGAATTTCCTATTCATTATATTCCTATTACATATTTATTTAATAGGAATATTTTTGATTAAATCCAATATGGGCAAAACACCTTTCATTTATTCAGTTTAGTTTAATTTCTACAATTCAAAAAAATTACTGTTTTTCTTATTAATTTTAATATAGCATAAGAAATTGCTTTTTAATTCTAATATTATCTTTAATAGTTAAATATTATTATTCTAATAATTTGTAATTCATGTTTACTCTAATTTTATTTTTAAATTGCTTTTATCTTCAAAATTTCATTTTTTATTTTTTATTTCAGATACAATACTATTTTTACACTATGGCAATTTAACCTTATTTTTGTACTAATATTGATAGCATACAGGCAATCCTCAAAAAATTTTCATTAATTTCTTTGTAAACTTATTTCATAAGAGTTTATCAATTTCTAAATGAGCTTTAACTCTATAGTAAAAATTGTCTTTAATTATATTCTATTAATATTTTTTATAATAAATATAATTTTGGTTCTCATAGGAGAAATCTAAAAGTGAGGGGATTGAAACTAAAAGTGCGAAACAATTCTAAGAATATAGTAAAGCAATCAAAAATAATAAAATTTTACTAAATATATGAAGGGGAATAAGACTAGTTATTTAGTTATTTTTACTAAGATAAAAATAAAACTTATATGATTGGAATTTCAGAAAATACAAAGTTACAAGTCACATTTACCTTGTTGCATATTAAAGAAAATAAGAGTACTCATAAAATGTAATGAAAAAATGAATACTTTTTTGGTAAATTTCATTCAAAGAAGATGAAAACATCATCAATCTATAAAAAGTATAATTGAAATAAAAGTAAACAGACATACTATAATAATAATATCAATCAATTATGATATGATTAATAATACTTATATCATAGAATTAAACTTTAACTTTAAATTTAAATATTGACTATAATGGAAAAATTGTCATGAGGATAAATTAAATAAAGATCAAACGAGATTTTATAGACTATATTCTTGATACAATGATAAATCAATAAATTATTATATCTATAAATGTTAATTCCCACTAAAATAAAATATTAAAAATCAAATAAGGTCAGTTGTTTAAATGCTAAAGGGAAATTATCATTTATCCTCTTCTATTATAGTAAAATAATCTTTTATATTTGGATTATTTATAATTAATAGGTATTATTTCATATTTTAAAATAATTATGTTTCAGTAATTCTTTAGCAGAGGGTCTTTCTTTTGGATCAGTTTTCAACATCCATCTTAATAATTCGATGAATGAAGAGTGAATATTAATATCTGAGAGATGAGAAAATGAAATTCCTTGTCTCATAAATTAATCGGAAATTACTCTACCTTTAGAAAAAAATTTGGAATCTTTAATCATCCATTACGGAAATGGACCATTTAGATATTCAATCATCAACAGATGTTTTTAGTTATTATTTTTTAGTTTGCCAAACAACTCTTTTTAGAAAAACATTTCATGCATTAGACATCCAAGACACCAAATATCTTGCTTTGAATTCCATTCTAGTCCCAAAATAACTTCAGGTGCCCTATATTCTTCTGTATTGACCAATCCTTTATAAAACTGTCTACCGTACACAACATTTCCAAAGTCTATTATTTTCACATTAACTTCATCAAATTATGATTTAAAGAGAATATTTTCTAATTTAATATCGGTATGAAGATATTAAAGCTCATGCATGTAATCAATGGCATTTAATAACTGTTACATGATAGATTTGACTTATTATGATGTAAATCGTTTTTTTATTAAGGATTCATATAGAGAGGGACCCAAGGCCTCCATTAGAATACATTGACATTATTTGTGATAAAAAAAATCATACACCTTTACTATATGATGTCTACCAGGATGGTCAATTAATTTAGGGAATAAATTTAAAAATTATACTGCTTAGTATTCCTTTTCGTAATCGTGAAAAGAGTTTTTAATGATCTACTTATAAAAAACAATCTTACTTTCAAAGCCCTTTAATTATTTGATTAAACATCTCTAACTTTGATGACTCTTCCAAAGGTTCCTTCGTTAATTCTCTCTAAATATTTGTACTTTCCCCCTATGATATCACCTTTGTCTAAAGAATAACAGGATTCTTCTAAATCTATGACTTAAACTGGTTTCGTCTGTTTTTCTTTTGAACGAGATCTTTCACGATCATCAATAATTATATAATTTTTTCTCATGAAAAAAATTATGTTTTCTAAAATTATTTAAATCACTAATCATGACATAAATAAAATTAAAATTTAAATTATTTATTCTGGGTATGAATTAATTGAACGACCAAAGCCACAATCCATTTTTCTCTATATTAGGCAGTGCTATCTCTTGTATATATTTGTATCTATTATAGAATGTCCGAACTTTGATTCAAAGATGAATTATCTTTTGGAGTCAAGAAAAATATTTTTATTTAATTAAGTCTTACAACAACAAATCCAGTTTATCAAAGATTAGAATAGTTAATTCGATAAATAATGTATTTAGCCTCAAAAGAAATAGAGAAGAAAAGCTACACAAATTTCTAAATTATATAAATGTACTTAATGTGAAAAATCATATGGTTCAGAAGCTTCTCTAAATCTCCATAGTAAACTAAAACATCCAACAATTGAATCAGAGTCGAAAACACAGATTGAACAAAGTTTTTAAATTTGATTCATTTTAGTTTTAATTAAGTCTTTTTTTTTCTTTAACAATTTAATCAATTTTCTATAATTTATTTGTAATTAATGCTGTTATTTTTACATTATAAATTTTAATTACTATTTTATTAGTAGAAATTAAAATCAAATTTCTTATTTTGATCTATGAATATTTTCTATTGACTTACAACTTATTAATAGAAATTATAATATTTTTATTATTTTCCCTTTGATGAATGCTAAAATTACTATTTGTTTATAAAATTAATTCTTCTAAAATTAATTAAATATTAAATAAAAATTAAGCTTTTCCATAATGGCCGATATCAATTCTTAACGAAAAAGTGTTTAAAAAGTATTTTAATTTCCTAAATTAGTAAGCATATATTGATGATCTCTTTACTAATGACAATGAAACGGAAGATGATAAAGATATAATAAAATTGTATAACACTGCCAAGAGAGAAAGGAAAACAATTGAGGCCCACAAATAACTATTAGACAATAGAGTAGCATTATTGAAATAGGAAGAAATACGCACTCTAAAAAAAATAGAAGAAACCAGAAAAAAAGCTTTAGAGATTTATTATTTAAAGAAAAAAAATGAAGAGAAACTTAAAAAAGTAAATGTTTTATGATTCAATTTAGAGAGAGGAAGAAAAGGAATCTCTATAAAAAAAATAAGAATAATAACAACAAATTAGAAAATAATAAGAAAAAGAGCATAAATTATTAATTTAGAAGCACAGAAATGAAAAAGCACAAAAAGCCTTTATAATAAAAGAACAATCCAAGAAAATTGAATTGAAAAAATAAAATATTTAGAAACAATCCTTGACTTCTTTGAAGGAAAAGAATTAAATTATTAGAGAATCCAGAGATATAAATAGAGTTATGGAAAGAATATAGATGGAAAAGAGAGAAGCAATTAAGGTTTAATTAGGAAAAAAGCTAGATTCTGAACAAAAGCTTAAAGAATTTAAGCAAAAAGGTACTTGTTACAAATATAATTAGAAATTGAGTAAATCGAAACTTATGAAATGGATTTGCTATAAAAATTGTAAAATACATAATAAATGTAAAAAACAGCCTTTGAAGAATTAGAATCAGCTTTGACTATGACAGCCAAGGAATTTGCTGAAAAATATTTGCAACCTAAATAAAAGGAGTAAGTAAACAAGTTAAATTTAGTGATTAGAATAAGGAAATCTCAAATTTTAATTCAGATGATGAAGAAGCTAATAAAGATAAAGAGCGTCCTCACTTAAGTTAACCCTCCTAGGACTAGTCTTCGAAAATTTCTATATAATAGATTAATGAAATTAATGATTAACATCAATAACATGATTCTAAATAAGATGAAGATAATGATTAAAATGAGAATCAGAATTAAAATACAAAGGAGGAAATCAATTAATAAAATTAAAATAATATTTAACTAGATGAATAAAATATAAGTTAAAATGGAGATCAAAATGAGATTCCAAATATTCTGGAATCTCCAAAAAATAAAATAGAGTAGGATGTTCAAGAAGAAATATAGAATGAATGAATGTTATTATATTATGATAATAAATATTACCACTAAATACTTCTTTTTTAATTCATGCTTTTTAATATAATTCCTAAGATCATTTATTATTAATCAATAATTATTTACATGAAATTTGAAATCAACCTTAAACTAAGTTAAAGGAATTAACAAATCTCAGATAAAATAAATTAATTAGAATTGATAAGAGCTAATAAATTAAGTAATCTCTAGTTTTGCATTGAATTATCTTAAACAGAGAATTGATAGATCTTAAAAATCAATTTAATATTAAATTTTTAAGTTACAAATTCTAAATAATATAACAAATATATAGAATATATTCAAATATCTTTTGAATATACCTACTTTATATTACGTTTATTTTCATAGCCACTAAATAATTTATGCATAATGTAAAAAAGTCATCTATATTTTATATTTTAAAGATCTCTAAGTTTAATTGAAAAAATTACATTAAATATTTTTGCTTAATGATTAAACTTCTAAATAATTCCTTTTATTTATGTTTAACTATTATAACAAATTCCAATTAGTTATAATCGAATCTAGGAGATGTTTGATCTAGTTTAATTCACTTTCCATTTTTCTGTATTTATTTTATAAATTAACCTTAAAATAATACATCTAAAATGAAGGATTGCTAGCTACCTGACCCTGAAAAAATCAAATATTCTTTTAATTTAATTCTATTTACAAAGGATGAATAGCAGCGAAATTAAGCTAGTGAATTTTTAAGATAACTTGAATAGAATGAACCCTAATTTTTGCTATCTCTTATACACATTTACGAAAATGATAATGTACATCTTCAGAAATAAAACTTAGACTGAGGTCTTGAGACTTTAATCATTATTATTGTTGAAAAATGCAATTACAAGGAATTGGATAAAAGCATCAATAGTAAATGGGAAAAGGGCTAATATTTTAAATGAACAATTAAAAACTCATGTCAAACAATCCTTAGTAAAACTACTTACTCAGAATATCGAACGAAAGGAGAGAAACATTTTGAATCAAATTATATAAGTAATAGTTAAATATGATTTCCCGGGAAAATTTTAGGATTTGGAAAATTATTTCATCTCAACTCTATAGTAAATTAGTTAATTTGATAACGTGGTTTCACATCCAATATACGATTTTGTAAGAACATTGAAGTCAGTCTAAAAAGAAGTTTCGAAAAATAGACTAAGTAATAATTGTTTTATAGAGCTTAGTGGCCTTTAAAATCTTGTAAAAAGAGTTTAGTCAAAAGGTTTTACCCATGTTTACGCCTCTATGGAAATACGTTACCTAATTACAATTTTAAGATTTATCAAAAACTTCTTAAATTACCTGTAATGTATTGCTTTAAAAGACTTCCTAAAAATTAGATTAAATATTAAGCTACTTAGTAATGCCTTTTCATTAAGAGGAAGACTTGTAAGAAAATTAATATCTTTAGACAAACTATATCGGACATTTTTATAGTTTTACTACAGAAAGCTACAGAACTCTTAAAAGCACATCAAAATTCTGAAATTATAAAAGCTCATTTAAAAACTTTGATTTCTAGTTTAGCAAGTTTATAATAATTATATCCAATTAGCATTGGCTATTCACTTTAGGGCTACTTGGCAATTTTATAAATCATATTACATTAAGTTGAACCTGAAAATCGATTGATCAACATAGGGCTAGCATCATTAACAAAGATTTTATAGACTCATTTTTATTATTGTTCAAAGGAATAATTCAAAGCAACTATTCCTTAGCCAAAATCTCAAGTTTATATTCAGTTAAGAGAAGTATGTCATGAAACCTTTTAGGGTTATTTTAATACTCATATAATCTTTTTTTTGGAGAGATTAATCGTTATTAATTCTTCAAAGAGAAACTCTAATATCAAAGAAATCTTAGAAATCGAGCACGATTCAAAAAGCAAAACAAATGATGATAAAGACGATGTTAGTGAATCAACCTAAATTTTATGTGCTGAATGTTAAGAATAATTGATAAGTAGATTTCCTTAATAGATATTAAGCTATATAATAGAAAATACTTAACAATTAATATCAACCAATTATTCAGTCATTAAAACTGAACTTTTAGATAGTTTCTTTTAACTATTTGGTAAGGCTATAAAAATTCAAGAAAAATAGAAATTGTAAACTTTTTCTTTCATGCCCATTTTAAATTATTTATTTTAGACTGAGAATCCAAGAAACTATTATAGATTTATTATGTTAGGAAAAGAATTTATTTCTAAATTTTCGCAGTCTGAGTTTGACTAATTTCTTGAACAAACAATATTGATAATCCTAAAATCAGTTGATATAGCAATTAAAATTGCAGGATTAGATTGTATTAATTAAGCTTTCACAATCAAGGTAAATAAAATTGATTATGCAACTTTGATAAAATTAGGACAAATCGTTTCTATATTACATAACATATTAAGAGAGGATGATATATCCCATTACATTTAGATTATTAACGACTTTCTATATCATTTTATATACACTTCTTTAGTAATCTCAACAGATTCTATTATAAATAAGTTATTATAAAATGACTGCTTAATTAATTTGTTTAACATAAAAACAAATTTAGTAGTTGTAAATTTTTGTGAAATGTTTAAAAAGCTATTAATTGGTTTTCCTTTTAGAAACGTACCAGATTAACTTATTTAATTAGCAATAATATTTATTACTCAAAATATTTAAAGCAATCATCAAGACATTTTAGATTTGTATCTAAAATTGCTTTATGAATACAATAAAGGTGTGAATGATAGTACTACAGGCATTTTATTACAAGGGTTATTCTTGAAAAATGAAAATCTGTTATTATAAAATCTAGAGAATTAATCAATTCAATGCTATATATTATTAATGATAAACGAATTGATATTATTAGATTTATTACCCATATCCAATAATTTATATTAAATGTTGGCTTCATTAATGATCAAAGCATAAACCATAATTGATATTGAATAATCAGTAGAAATGAAAAATAATTGTCTTAATGTTCTGGAAACAATAATTTTATAATAAATAGGTAAAATAGACGCTACATGCTATGGAAACTTGATTCTTTATTTACTGAAAGAATTTTTAGGTTTTCAGTAAATTTAACTAAAATCATTTCAATTTGTTGAATTAAAGACGAGAGTAATTAACATTTTGAATATATTTTTCTTTAAAGAAGAAACTTATTTTTTGGAATTAATAACATCAAATTTCCCAAATAATGATTAATACTTCATTTAATGGCAAGAAAATTCAATCAATATCATAAATAAGGGAAATAAAAAACTAAATACAATAACTACTTTATATTTTTTAAAATACATATCTCAACCTATATTGTAGAGGTTAATAGAGTCTATATTAAAAGAAAGTTTAGTTGAAATTCAATATTTTATTGATTATTAGAACGAAGAATTTAGAGAATAGTAAATAAAGAATCGAATTCAGTACTACAGTTTTGAGAAAGTAAGGTTAAGTACGAATAGGGAGAGCTTAAGAAAAGAGGAATTATTTGAAAGAAACTTACATTATAATAAACTAAATATCCAATAATTAGTTTTAGCAACCATAAATGTAATAATTATATCTATAACTAGTAAGTTATGACTTAATTCAACCTGTAAGGAATGTAATAGATAATTTAAGATTAATATTTATTAGGCTAATTGAACTTATTAGTTGATGAATGCTGATATACAGATGTATTTAGTTATTAAACAATGAAATTGATCATTCCTTTTTCTCTTCTGCTCTTACTTTGCCTTTTCCATTTGTTAATCTAACATTGAGTTCAGCTGCTCTTCTAACAAGAGTTGCTCTTTTTCTGGCAGAAAGGTTGTGAGCTAATTCCCCTGCAAAAGTTCTATTATTTGTTAATAATAATTCAAGATCCTTTTCATTAGTTATAAGCAATTTTCTGAAACCAGTTTAATCCAAATATCTAAATTGAGCATAGAGTTTAATACCTAGTCTTCTTATCACCTCTATAACCAGCTTTGGGCATAGGTCTATTGCCTCTGAATCTTCTTCTGACTCTGTTATCAATACCTCTTGGTCTTCTCCAACTTGGTCTCAATTTATGAGGGTAGTCCTCTGATTCAAATCTAACAAATCTCTTTGTTCTCTTGTGCACTATTCTTTTATGAGCAAGTGATTTGACAACCATTTGTTTATAATTAAATAAAAGATTTTAATTCAAAAATTAACATTATTTTGTAAATAAGTATTATAATGATATTTGATCACTTTGGACTGAGTTCACTTGCAAAAACGAGAGGAAGCTCAGCACTCTTTTTATTATAGTGAAATTACAAGAGAAGTTGAAACTACTGTAAATATTAATAATTTTAATTACATAATAATTATGATCTTTAATAAGAAATGAGACTTCAAGAGATATAAATTAAAGATCAATTCAAGGATTTTAATAAACTAAATTATTTCCCTCCAAAACTTCAAAATTTGAATAATTAGATTAGCAACAAATTTATTTTATTTTGAAAAAGGTCAAGGAAAATGAATTGTTTACATGTACTGCACCGATTTGGTGATTTTAATCATAAATTGTAATTGAAATCATATTTTCACTGCATGTTGTTTGAAGTGACTTATTATTTAGCACTTCTGAATTTTCTTTTAAAGATCCTCTTTCTTCTGATTGATGGAATTTGCTAACTTTCAGTTGATGTCAATTTTTATATCTTCTGGTTTATTTTTTAGATAACCTACTTTTTGTTGAATTCATACATTTTTAATTTGCATTGGTATATTTTCTGTATCTTAAGAATAAAAATTGGTTATAGCTTCATACAATTCGTATTTTTAATAGTAAAGGAAGTCTGAATCTAGAGTGACAAACAAAATAAGATCAGAATGAACTGCCTGTTGATTGTAATAGTCAGTTATTGTGGTGATATTTACATCATACTCCACAAGTGTCAGAATGCTCATTTCCATTTCCAATATTTATTTAGAACTAAATTCAAAGTTACATTGTGATGCACAATCGTCTATGTTCATATTGATTTAGGTTTGACATTCATTAAACTTATTTAAGATATTAAAAACTAGTTTACTTTGACTGCAATCATTAATGAGGCTATTCCCAATAATTTTAAATTATCCGGTTGCATCTGCTTTTGAGAAACATAAATCTTTATTAAAATTGCAGCCAATTCTATTGTTTTGGTATTAAGGGTATTTTTCTCAGAAATCTAAAATACTACTAATAAAAAACCATAAAGATCCAATGGATCAGAATTTCAAGTTGCACTATCTTTTGATGAGATATTGGTTCTGATATTTTAATATCTCTCATCCTTAGATAGTCATTGCAGTCGATATCCATAACTATTTATAAAATATTATAATTTGAAAATATTCACATCCAAACAAGTGTGGTGCATTGTAAAAGTTAATCACAATTGCAATCCCATTACTAAGGAATCTGAAAGTATCAAGAACTTTCATCCTTTTGATTCTAAAATGACCAATCCAATTTTATTATATTATTTATTTAATAATGGACAATCCAGACAACTACATTGTGAATATTTTCAAAAACGAAATCCAAATCAAAAGAATTCGAAAGGGTACTCCTTAATTTTATCTCTAGAATTAAAATAGTTAGAGGTCCTAGACAGGAATGAATTCAAAATTAACTTGAAGCAATTGTCTAATAATTTACAAATCATCGTACTAATAGTTCACTATGTAGGTTGAAATGGAACCAGTCGTACCCTTAAATTAAGGCAAACCCATCAAATTTTGCTTATATCTAGATAATAAATTCCCTTTCGTGTTTCCCAGAGTTCATCTTCTTAGTCATGTACTAATCAAATTTTATCACACTAGTTGACTAAACCCACTTTTGCTGATGGAAGAGACTATATCGAAGATGTTTTGCATTAATAATGGAGCCCATCCATTTTGCTCAATGAAATCATTCAAAAATTTCCTAAATTTCTCGTAACTCCATGAATCTTCTATAATTAGGATTAAGTGAGACATTATAAAGATGACAGAGATCATTTGCTTTCCTTGGGCAAATATAATTTAGATTAGGAATACGAGGGATCATTGGGATTAGAAGATGTCGAATACTTTTAATGCAAAGAAATAATAAGTGGAAGATCTTATCAGAAAATATTATAATTAAGCAATAGTTATATCTTGACTTTGGAGTACTAAAATAAAGTCTTGATTCTCTAAAGCTTTTAACCTACTAAAGACTTAATTAAAGTTGAAAAGATAGAGAATAGTGCCTAATTAACATGGAGATCTGATGACAATTTCAGAATTCAAACATTAACCCCTTCAAACATCGATTAATTTATGGATTCAATCCTTCTTTACAAAACTGGTGCTTCCGGTAAAAAAATCCAGGAAGAAGAAGTAACCTTATAAAAGTTTGAGAATTTTGAAATCCAAAAACTCCTTGATTCTGTGAGTTACTATGAGAAATCTCTAGAACAGGAACTCAACCCTTAGACTCTGAATTCTCTTATGGACTCATATCAATAAGTAAGCATCTATCTAACTAGGCTATTGAATATTTTTCTGCAGTTTCTGATGAAGATTTTAAAGAATATGTTAAGCGTCTTTAAAATTTACTTGGGAGAGAGGATGTTTAAAAAATACTATCCAATAAATTGTGATCATGCAGTTTTTGTATATGATTTAATGTTAAAATCAGTCAAATTTATTAATCATTTATAAAATTGATTTATTCGATATTTTAATTTCAATAGAAGAACCGAATTATCAATATCCATTTTTTATATGTAAAATATAATGTTGATAGACACTTTAGTTTTAATTAAATATTACACAAACTTTAATAATTATTATTACTTATCATTCATCCAAATCGAATTCGAGTAAGATAAATAAAGATGGCAAAAAGGCTTAAATTAACTCTTATTACATATTTGGAATCAATTCGGTGTAATTAGGCCCATATTATTTTGCAATATCTTCAAGAGAATTTCTTTCTCTTAAGCTTTTAAAGGTGTTATAGATAGATAGAAACTCATTTAATCCCAACTCCTTCTCTAAAGCAGATCTAATTTTTTCGGCTCTCTCATAACCGAGTTTAGGGTTTTATTTTTTGGCTATTCATAAGATAACCTTTAATCTTACTATTCTATTGTTATGATTGGATTAATTGTTCATTTTATTTTTCTTTGGCAGAATTTAATTGCTATTATTTTTATTCTATTTGTGACATAAAAGGAAGGTAGATTTCCACTGGCACTTCTTTGTTTTTCACTACTTTCTTATCTCCCTATTATTAATCCTATTTTTTTGGTTGGCCAAATGACTCAATAATTAATTCTTAAGGCTTCTGCTATTACTATTAATATTTCTATATATATCATTAGCATACTTTCTTTTATATATCTTATTTCATAAATTTTGATTACTCTTCTCTAGTTAATTTTTTTTACTATTTGTATTCATCCTTTTTTATAATAACCTAATGTTACTATTTCTCTAGATTAACAATATATCATACTTTACACCAGTAAGGCCGCTGGCTTTGTTATAGGCTACTATTTAATATTTAATTATTTAATCCTATTTTAGATTATTTGATTTTCTATGTAATGAATAAAATAATACATAAAATCTATTCGATTGTTGGTCTTTTATTCTGATCAATCTATAACAGACTTTAAATTAAGTTTTTCATATTTTATGAATAGACTTAAGCACTTATGGGTTGTATTTTCCCTTTTATAATTTTAGTAGCCAGACCTGGTAATGATTCCGCTTAAAATGGGTATTTAAAAGTGCACATTTCATAAAGCAAGACTCCTAATGCCCAGATATCACTCTTATAAGAATAAGGCTAGTTTTATATTATCTCAGGGGATAAATAATACGGAGTTCCTATAAAAGTGGTGGCAAGAGTCTAATCAACAGATCTTGCAATCCCGAAGTCCCCTAATTTCAATTTGTCATCTTGCAAAAACACATTTTCAGCTTTTATGTCTCGATGGATAATTCTCTGTGAGTGAACGCATTAAATTGCTAAACATAATTGAGTAAACCAATCAACAATTTGTGTTTCAGGCAATGGTTATTGTCTTGACTTTATGTATTAACCTAAAGTGCCATCTAATAATATTATTTATTAATCAAATACTATTGGCATATTCCATTATTATGCATAATCTATTTTTGCTATCTATAAATGTTTCTACGTATTAGATGATATTCTCATGTCTCAAATTTTACAGTATTAATGCTTCTTGCTTGGCTGAAGGTGATTGAGGCAACACCTTCATAACGTATTTAATTTAATTTTCGTCATCAGAAGTCACGAGGTATGCTTTCCCATAAGCTCCAACACCCAATAACCTTTATTTTTTGTATTGTTTTATTATTGTTTCATCAATTTACATTTCATGGGACATACTAGTAATATCATCAATAAGTATATGACTATCATCATCCATTATTATAAAATATATAATATGATCAATTTGTAAAATATAATAATCAACTCATTGTTGTTTTTCATAATTTTTGAAGGTTAAAAATGCAGACAAACTAAACAATAATTCAAAGACAATAAATATTAATGCAATTACATTTATTATTATCTCCAAAATTACAACATAAGTTTATAAGACAATGAAAAATATGTAGAAGAAAATGCATGGAAAAATAAGTAATACAAACCTAAATATTTAAGTAAAATACCATAAAATTTGAGATGGGGATTCAGTTTTATTACCTATTGATCCCAATATCAATCTTGGAAATTAACAGAATGCTAGCAAAAATTACAAAAATATTTCTATTCCTATTTTATTTGGTGGATAAAACAATCCATATCCCTTATAGATAAACACTATGATTTCAATTATGAAATAGATATACTAGATATAGTAATGATGCATACTGTGAAAATATAATCAAAATATAAAAAGGTTTGAAGAGGTATTGAAGCTAAAGGTCTTTTCTCATCACTAATGTTTGCAGCCTCCTTCATTTGAGTATTTGAAATTAAATAATTATTGTATAAATTAATTACAATAAACAATAACAAACTTTTTAAATCTCCTAAATCTAATAACACTGAATAAGAAACTAAATAGAATATCAAACTTAGAGAAACTACATATCATAATTCCCTAATTTAATATGATTTAAATAGTAAATTATATATATATATTCATGATAAAAACAATTTTGCTTAATTCTTATAAAGCTACAACTTTAGTATCTTTTCGGGATCATCTTCTTAAAAGTACACTATTGCTCTCTCAACCCAGAAATCTTTTTTTTTTTTCGATGGTTACAAATTCATCATAAAATGAAGCTTTAAATAAGTTATATATTTTACTTTTTTTGCATTTTTCACTAAAGCTTTGATTACTGGCATTTCTGTCAGATCCTATGCAGTTTTCCCAGCTACAGTTTTAATTGATGGATTTGCTTAATAAACTAGTAATACTCTAACAGTATCGCAATTGTTATTCTTAGCAGCTATATGCAAAGGAGTTCTACCCACTAATTTAATACTTTATATAATATATACTCATATCTCTAGCATCTAGATCTGCACCATTCTCAACTAATATTTTAATAACTTCTATTGAATTATTGCTAACAGCATGATGCAAGGGAGTTTTCTATTAATTATCGCGATCGTAAACATGAAAACGACAATCTCTTAACATACTCTCTATTTCTCTTAAGTTGTCTGCTTTTACTTACCTAAAAAATTCAACACTATTAGGCCTTTCATATGCTTAAGATGGGAATACTTGATTATTCACTACATCGCTTAGAGTTATGTTGAATCTCTTTAATTTATCCATAAAATTTCTAAGGGCTTTCATAACTCTTAATCTAAGATCAGCCTTTGCTTCCTCATCTAATCTTTGTGTTTTTGGACTCTAAAGTCTTGCTGATGATTGAGACTTGAGTGTTCTTAGAGTCTTTAATGTTCGATATGCAGATGGTTATTGTTGGGTTGGTTGTAACGCCTTTTTATTCTTCCTAACGTGATTCATAGTGTATTTAACTTCTCTGATGTCTTCTCTAAACTTTTTAACATTTGCAATCATTCCATTGATTAATTTTTACTCATCCTTTATTAATTATTCAGTCTATTCCTTCATCCTTCCATCAATTTTATCTTGGATAATTCTAAGTTATTCAAGAATTATTACTAAAAAAATTAGTCCATTTGCGATTTAGGAATAAAAACATCGAAGTCCTAATTTTCATCTGTCTTTTATCTTTAAGAAGCTACTTAATCTATCATCATCTCATGTTTTTAACCATAATTTCTTTTTAAAACAATATTTTTTTCTTAATTTGGTTTCCTGTATTTAGAGAACCTAATTTGATCTATGAATTTATTCTAAAGATTTTCGAATTCCCCCTCATCATCAGATATAAATAATGCCTTTGACATTTCCTTAGCAGACTGTTAAAGTGCTTAGGCTGACTTCTCCATTTATATAATGGATTCGTAACTATTTTTTTCTAATTATCCATTTAAAAAGTTGGCTACTATTTTCCCAGTTGCACTATGAGATTATTGCATGATTGCACATAAAAAGTGAGTCTATTGCAATAATTTCTCTTTGGATTCATCACCCTTAAGTGGATTCGATTAGGCAATACTGTTATTATTTAGGTTTCTTAGATTGGTTATTTTGTTGACTCTTCTCAAAGGAGGTTTGTTAGGTGGCAATTAAACTGTTTCAAGTTTGTTCCTATATGATGAATGAATATTTTTGTTAAGTCGAAATAAAGGATCTGGATCAGAAGGGTGAGTATGCATTTTTGGCGAATTAATTGGAGAACAATTCTAACTAATGAATTCTGTGTTAATAGAGGGACTCACTTATGACTTGTATAACAAAGTGGACGTTTTGGATATGTTGGGATAACTTATTGTTAGTGTGCTTATTACAATGTGGATGATGTCGTATTTCTAGTGGTTCTTTGCTTTTATGCAGCCTTGAGTTCTGATTTTAGTTTAGCTTACTCTTATGCAAGCATGTGCCCCAATTTAATCATTTTGTTATAATTATTTTCAATAAAAATGAGTTTTAAATTATCATCAATATAATTCATATCTTGAACTTGCACTTCCTGGAGTTTACAATCTAATATTACGAAATTGATATACATTGTATGTGGATTAACAATCTGTTGATACTTTTGACTTTACACAATAGGTTTATTTGGTAACTTCTTAGCCAATAAATCCAAATCCAAAATGTCTTATTCTTATATCTCTTCATCATCAATATAGATCTAGAAGTCTCTCCAAAAAAATGGATTCAGCTTCATATCTTTAATTACATCCTCTGCACTTTAAACTAAATCTTAACTTAATCCCCACAATGAGATCTTGCCCTTCTTACCTCCAACCAACAAATATTACCCATCATTTGAAAAGTCTAACGACACTATACTGAAAATTCTATTAATTTATTCAGCCACTTAACCTGTTCCACATTCATATATTCTTATATTAGTAGGAAGCATCTTTTTATTTATCTTAGCATTTTTAGTCAAATATTCTATTGAAGGAATCTCTATAAATTATTTATCTGATGCATTAACTAATGGCAAATGAGCAATAGCAAAATACAATCCAGATTTATCAATCTATAAATGTCTTGAAAAAGGAGGAACTGTTATTTTGGCTCTCTTCTCTGAACTTTAGATTTTGTATATATAAACAAATCCATAATTTGATAGTATTAGAATATAATCTTTTGAAGGGTGTAAATCAAATCCAAATATTGTGCCTTCAATCGTGTATATACTCAGAGCTAAAGCTGATAACTAAGAATTAGCTTTATCAATTTGATGTCTCCTCACAGAATTATGATTATAGATAGTCAATGAATTGAATGATTTGTCATTCCTTGGAATATAAGATGTTGAATATGCTTGAGTGTTAACTTTAACGATGTCAAATTCTAATTGAAACAGCTTGATTCCAACATATGATATGTTTTCAAGTTTATCTTCCAACTTCAGTACAGGCTTGAGTTAATTTTCACAATCTAATATAATTGTAAATCCGTTTTTGAAGGCTACCCCCAAATATTGATAGGCTGGACTGAACTGCATTTCTTTAATTCCTAGATTTTAGGTCAATGCAATTTGTCTACGGAATTATACATTGTTTAAAGAGAAAACAAACAATTATCCTTTATTGTCTCCTAAATAGATATCATCTCTATAATTGTCAATGACACAACACTTAATTTTAGTCTGAAATTATCCAATGTAATATTTACTCATTGAGAATTTATCTCCACGAGAATTAGAGACTCCAAAAGAGCCATCATTTGAACATGAATAAAATTAATTGCTTTGCACAGGATCCCAAGAAACTTGATTGATTCTCCCTCCATGCCCATTTTATTAATTTAATATTATTCTTTTATTGATATCCATAGTGACCAAGGTAGAATCATTTAAGGAGAAGACTAAAAGTTGATTAGAGTGTTTTAATTATACACAATAACAAGTATCATTTGCATGAATCTCCGTTACAAATTTAAGGGTCGATATTTCATAAATAAATATTTTGCCACTCCTTGTGGATAAATACAAATATTATTCAAAGCTTGTAGAGGCAGCAAATTCCTAATCTGGAGCTTTTAATTAAGAAATTAGATCACCTTCTGAATTCAAAATGTATAAATCTCCTGTGACCAATATCAGAATGATTAGATTCAATGATTTGTTTGTGTCCATATGTTTGATATTCTTTAATGTGATTCTATTTGTGATCTGAACACTATTCGATACTAAGTTCCAAAGAGTTACCTATCCATTACACATGAAACATAATTTAGTTTTTGGTTTCGTTAGTAAATAAGAAAATCCATAGCAAGGGTTCAGATTATCTAAATCAGTAATGAAAACTAGTTTATATTATTGAATGTCATAAACAAGTATTCGATGTCCCGTATTAACTTCAATGAGAATCAATTAATTATTAATGTTCTCCATAAATATGTTGACAGTTTTCTTATCAGTGTCAGGTAGATAGTCATCGAAAGTTCGATTAAAGGAGTCAAATTCAGAAATTTATAGATGATTCTTAAATCCCATACTTACTGATGCAATAAGATTCTATCCACAAAAACAGATTGCCATAATCTAATTAACATGCCCGTGCATTTAAACTTTAGAATTATTTGTAGTATCAAGCAATAGTAAGCTGTTTCCTTGTTCAAAAGCAACTAAATCATTTTTTACATCAAATGAATTTGTGCCCCCCAAAAAGTCTATAATCATAGGAAATAAAATTTTATATATGTTTTATTTTAATATATTTAATTTGGTCAAAAGCCAGGTGGCTAATATGATCCAAATTGCTAACCTCCATAACCCATAGGAGCTTAATTCATTTAAGGATTTGTGAAACCGGAAGGCTATCCAAAGCCTGAAGGCTATCCATAACTTATATTGCTGTTATTCATTTGGCTTGGTGGACCCAACATTAATTAGCCTTAGTTCAATAGGAAGTCTTAAGCTATTGGTAAAGCTTATGATTATTGTTATTGTGCTGTTTGAATTTCCTATTTTAATAAATACGAATTTGTACCTTCTTTTCTCTGTCCTCATGCTTCTTTTATACATACTCTATCTTGTGAGTCAACTCCCAAGTGATTTAGATGAAGTATGGCATAGCAAATTCCATTAGGCCTGATCTCCAAGTCAATTCCATTACTTAGTCTGGTTTCAATAAATCATAGCATGTGTAAAGACACACAGTAAAGAATTCACTTTCCTTGTTTTAGATGAAGAATTCTAATAATTCATAGACCAACTTAACATTCTAAGATTCTTAAGCTGTTTCGATGGCATCTCTGTACATTTAGTCTTATTTACTCAAGTTCATTGATAAATCATATTTCTATATCTTTCTATATAAATAAGCAGCGATTCTTCTGAATTCAACTAATTCATGAGATTGGGTCTTTTATGCCAAAGCCAATTAGTCAAAGTTTTC